CAGAGTGCGCCGCATGCGATGCGCGCGCGTCGTGTGCACGTGCGCGGTGTGGCGCACGTGCGCGGTGCAGCGCATGTCGATGCGCCGCATGTATGGTTTGAAGGGATTACTATTGTGTGATCTTTGATCATCTCTTCCATTTTCTCCTCTGTCTGTTCCCCCTCCACTGTCTTCTTCTAATGGTAATGAGATACGGTTTGAGATATCACTTTACGATTTGGAGACTTTGTTGCAGATATTGAGACTACTGATGTTTGACGACTGCTGAGTATCTGTCAGACTGGGTTCATTACACCATAGTCGCATTAAGGTTCAAGCAACCACATGCCACCTCACATATCGCATCGAACCAAGATTCACTCTCATGTTTGCTTACTCACATAACCCAGACAAAGCAGACTGAAGAATGCAAAACTTGACTGATTGCGCAAAAATGAACAGAGGCACTCGCAGTGCGGAACCAACTGTATGCGTCATAAAACACATACAGAAGCGACCTCATCGCCGTCGCCACCGCAACTTTCCCTTCTCCCTTCACTCTCCTCCCTGCTCTGTCCCTCCAATTGAACAGACCAGTCCTATGTGAGGAACTACCCTGCGGTGTCACCCCGCCCAGTCCTCCAGGCATGACGAGCCAGTCCGACGTTGTTGCATGCAACCCACAGTTGCAGCGAGATCAAAGAGAGAGTTAACCCACCAGTACCTCGCCCAGGCAAACTTGAGAATCGAATTGCGTCAATCCGGGTTCTTCTGCTACAGGACCAGAATGGCTGACGGCATCAGCCGAAAAAGAAAAGACGTGCACTGCTGGTGGTTCGTTTTTCTTTGGCACACTGTGCAATTCCGTGTAGGGAACAAGAGTCTTGGAGGTACTGGTGTTGTAAAGGAGAGGGACTGCCGTATTTATACCAAGGAACGTGTTGGAACAGCACAGATGAAGGGGAAGCAGATGGTAGGTAGCTAAGGGTGCCCAGAGAGATGGGATGAAGGAGGAATTTCAAGTCAAAAACTTTGGAAAAACAACTTTAAATTCCGAAATAAACAGAAGTATGTCTACTCTAATTTCTCCGTGAGGCTCTTTCCTGCTAGATCGCAACTGCCACCAACTCCAGGGAGGACCTCCAAATTTCACCCTTCCCCAGAAATTGATAAAACTGGACCAAATACAGGTTAAAAGTATCCAGGGCCGTGCTTTCTCAGTATGAACAAACCCCCAGTCACACCTGGCCTGCCATCTGACAGTATTGGACAAATGGTTGCAACCACGCCGCCTCATTGTTACTCTGAAATCTGGTGTGAGTTGGGTCACTCACCAAAAACGAGCTGACAAATGAATGTGCATGTGTTCCTTTGACTGGTATCTTGAACATTTTGCCTGCTTCAACATTACTGCATAGGAAGGAGCACGACAATTGAAGGGGAATCAGAACCACTGCATGAATAACTTCATTAGGGAAAGTCCAAAAATGGCAGAAAGATCATTCACAACTTCAGTGCCATATCAGAATGGCTTCTGATAGCAAGAACATTTTTGGCAGTCAAGGCCTACCAAAACGGTTTTTACCTTACGGTAGCAGATACAGATCCCATGGCTCGATCCCTATACCTTGCCCTCACCCGTGTACAGTACCAAGTCGACAACTGTGTGTTTAAACCCGCGACCCGTGTCTTGGTAGTCGCATGTTGTCTGTTATAGGCTAGTGTGGTCGTCGGGTCTTGATCTGTACGTCTGTCGAGTAGGGGATTTAGCTGTGTAAAAGTCGTAGCTGCTACAGTCCTGAAAGGTCAAGGTCTTAGCTGCGACAGACTTCCGGAAGGTAGTAGCCTTCCAAAGTGTCTCAAGGTCAGTCTAGAGGCAAGTGGGCAAGTGGGTGGCAAGTGGGTAGTCCAACCTCGCCTAGTCCGCGGTACCCAGTCCCAGTCGCACTTTGTCCAGTCATCAAGTACCATGTGGTACTGTGTGCACCCTGGGCCCGGTGGAAAGGGGCAGACCAGCGACCATCCGAAGTATAAATCAAGAGGCAGCGTCCAGTCATTCATTCATTCTGCCTGTGAGCCGTATGGAAGCGCTGCCCGAAGGAGAAGTGGGCTGTGAGGGAGACGAAGCGGTCATAGCCGCTAGTGGCTAGGAAGGTAGAAGGCGGCCATAGCTGCCGCAGGAGGTAGGCTGTGGGTGTATGTGTGAGCGTGAGCGTGTTGCATGAAGTGTGTAAGTGTGTGTGGGACATCCAGGGACATCCAGAGTAGCGTGCATGTGAACAGTTGCTGGGAATACAGTATCAGCTGAGAAGTTTTGAGGCGCACAGGTGCCATAGCCATCGGAAGCAAATTTGAATCTGAACTGTGTTCTTGGCCACGACATCTCTGAGCTTTGTGTGGGCGCCTCGCGCCAGTGTGATTGCCATCTGTTTTCATGCATGCTGAGTGAGGAAGAAGACGCGTCTGGTTGCACCTACAATGCCCGAAAACATAGATCCACAAGTACTTCCCCAATCCACATGCTCTTTCTTTTTTGTGAGCCTATCCTAGGACTTCAAGCACCGTTCCGCAAGCAAGCTGTGTTGGTTAACCCACTGGCAGCTGCATTGATAAACGGGTCGGTGTCCGTCATTCATGATGAAAAACTGTCGGAGGTCGGCATAGCTGGGCACAAATGTTATTGGTGTTGCACGGGCTCAATCTGTGGAGCATGGCCTAATGAACTGTGCGAAGACCAACAATAATCAGGACGCCAACCAACTTATGCCATGGTCGGCCCTGGCTTGATAAGTGAGAGGCTTGTTAACCCAGCTCACTGTGCAACTCACTACGCCGCATAAATAGATCCAGACAGACACAGCAAAATACGGCCAGGCAGACAAAACTGTCATAAGAAAGATAAAATATCGGCAAACCTATGGACACAAATGCAGAGGCGATGACAGAGATTGACCATGGGCCAGGAAAGCAAACAGCTGGGATCCATATGGACCACCACAAAGAGACAGAAATACCAGCACTGTGGGGAACAAAAGAGTCATTTGTTGATTACCCGATCAACGAGCAAACACAGAGCTGCAAAGAGAGATCAACAGTTAACAGACCCGCAACATACAGACACATAGACTGATGGGTTCCTCAACTACCCAGTCCAAGAGCCAAGGAAGACCGGCGAGCAGCGAAAAACACAGACATACAAATGGACACATAGGTGGAGACCAGGATTTCTTAAAGACAACAAACCTTGTGCCATCAAATCCTCCGAGATGACTATAGCGAGATGCGCTCAATCCACCATCAGGACCCTGCATCATTACAATGACCGACCTTATCAACGCCCTCAACACTGGGAGAGAGAATGTATCCCACAAAATTCTCTCCACATTCTTGGTATTAAAATCACCAGTTTGAGAACCCCTCACTCTGACTGTTTGTCAGCTGCAATCACACTGCACAGCAAAAGACCATCTGACAGTACTTGACCAAAGCCCATGGAACCGGGATTAACAAACGGCCAAGTCAGAATGAGCGGAATCGCAGTGAGAATACCCCACACATATGACAGAACTCCAACACACAAATAGGGAATGAGGGAGAGATTGACCTAAGCATAGTTTTCGTTTTCCAGCTGGACTTGCCCAGACCAACCTGCCTGCAAAGCCTAGACAAATCGGAGAAGGCATGGGGTGCGCCTTTTCTGGTCTGGAACATACTGTTGGAGTGAGGACGGCATGGAACAGCGAACTTTAAGTTACCTTTCCAGCTGGGGAGGTTAATTGTGGGTGGCGGGACTGAGGAAGGAGGCTGCAGCCACATGACACAGACACGAGGAAGTGTCCTCAGGAGGGGCTGATGTAAATCGCATTGTTTTTTCAATAATTTATTTTTCAAAAAGATCTTTCTGATTATCCCAGTCCCTCTTACAAAGCCATGAGCAAGTTAAACCCTAACGACTCCAGAGAGGCCTCAAGCACAAGTCCAGTGCGTCCTGGACATCCTGAGTTATGTGTTGCAAACTTTCAGCAGACTGATATTGCTGAAGTGTCTGTAACAGTGAAGTAATAGTCTTTCTCATGGAGCTCCTGTTACCAACATTAGGAAGAAAAACAAGGTCCTGCAGACCCTGCATTGACTATCCTGAGCCGCGTGGACAGACTATGGAAAGTCAAACCTTTTTTCCTCATGAATAACCCCTTCGAGTAGTTTAATCGTCTTGTAAGACGAGAATTCGGGAATCTGTTATGGGCCGCTCTGGCCATACTCTCCCACCTTCAATTATGGACAGGAGATATGCTACTGCTGACTCAGCTGCGGTCGTCCGACAACCTTCCTTGCTTGACCGTTGACTCTGTTCAAGAAGATCATCAGGAGGTACTTTATGCAGGAAGCAGGGTTCGAGACTAAAAGAGACCAGAAGGGCAAACATAGTGATAGGGCCGGGGATGAGCATGGTAGCCAGAAAAGTTAGATTAGCAGACATAGAAGGTAACTGTGAGGCTAACCTAGGCAGGCGTGAGGGGAGGTACATCCTTGTAAATGGAAGTAATCAATGCCGCCCACTCGGAGCTCTCCACTACAATGGAGAGCAGCATCAGCCTCTCTTCACATCTTCTGTCTTGCTGGTGGAATAGGAACCAGATCAATGATTCCCAGAATGGGTAGGTGACAGAGCCATCAGGCCCTGTTTTGAAGTGTTTTCTTTTTTTCTTCTTCTTAATTTTGAGGCAGCTCATTTACCAAGACTTGATCCTGTTGGCACTCATGTTATGGAGAGACAGTGTGGCTCTGGTGTCAATGAGGTCAAGGATGATGGGAAGGTCATCATAACTTCTGTGTGGCAATGTCATCCATTGTGGCATACTGCGCATCCACACGGGCCTGCAAGGCCCGACCAAACAAGGAAAGTAAGGGCCCTACAGGCCCTGTCTCGTTTTCAGCCTGAAAGCCTGAAAACAAGGGCCTACAGGCCCTGTGTCGTTTCAGCCTAAGAAAGGGCCCTCCAGGCCCTGAGTCTTTTCAGCCTGAAACGGAGGGCCATTTTCAGGCCCTCATAAAGTCTACCTGCCCTGAAACTTAGGCACCAGACCAGGGTTTTTAGCACAGGCCATTTTTGGCCTGTTTTCAAGACAACCTTCGTTTGAACTTCAACATCAGCGTCTGGCACGTTTTGGCATTGGCAAGAGCAGCCTCCTGGACGGGCCAGCACTATATAAGACTGGCCCGCCCTGCAGGCTGCAGGCAGTCAGGAGACAGTCACGAGGCAGTTCATAGGAACTTCCCAGGCACTTCACGTGCAGGAGGCAGGAGGCAGTCTTCAGGATTCGGCAGCAGCACTCTAGAGGAGCGCTGCAGTAGTTGTGGTAGCGTTAGCAGTAGTCTTCAGCGCTGGGCGCTATCAGGAGCTAGAGTAGTAGTGGAGAGAGAGAGATGGTTGGCGGAGGCCAGGGAGACTTACCTGTGGCGCAATAGCTCCAGCTTCGTCTTCGATGTACCTGCAACAAGGCGCCACCTTCACAGGTTAGTACTGGACTGAGAGAGAGAGAGAGAGTTCTTCTTCTTCCTCTTCTAAGTCCACCATCTCCTCCTCCCCCTCTCACTACCTGACTTCTCAGTATCTGCAGACTACGAGAGAGAGAGAGATTGGTGACTTTGGGACTCGACGACATTTGGGTCCAGACTCGACATTGGGATTCAGACATTTGACGAGGGATTATTTGGGACCTGTACCGAAGACTTGGTGTTGACGACATTCCNACATTTGGGTCCAGACTCGACATTGGGATTCAGACATTTGACGAGGGATTATTTGGGACCTGTACCGAAGACTTGGTGTTGACGACATTCCCATCTTCCCCTCTTCTTCGTTTAACCCCCCTCTTCTTCGTCTGCGTATGGTTGGGGACTGGCGCATTCTTCCTGTGTGAGAGCCAGGCCCCTTCACACCATGGAATGATGATGATGTATGTCTGGTCTGCATGGCAACATTGATCGTTCGGATCATTGGTATTTACGCCTTCCGCTGTGCTATCTTGTATTATGTGAGAGAGGTCGGTTCTTGTTCTGGTCTGCACCTTTACGGTATGCGACATCCATGCTTCTTCAGTGGATAAACATGTTAATTTCAAGTTCCAGTATTATTGCACCAGTCTGGGATAGGTCACGACGGAAGAGAAATTGACCTGGTGGGTGACATTATCTGTAGATTGGCGGTGGAGGACAGGTAAGAGACGAGCCAATAGACACGTTGGGTGGCAAGAGGGAATCCGTGGAAGAGGGAGAAGCAATCTAAACATTGTATACATTGTTTATATTTTAAGATATTTCCAATCTTCGATGCATTTGCTCTTCTCCTTCACACAATCTTGTCTCTCATTGTTGTCTCAATTTGTTGTTATCAATCAGTTGAGCCTTGTGAGTTCACATGAGATTTCATCTGGAGCTTCTGAAGTTGGGTTCATTACAGAGGGCCTAGCAACAAGAGCACACCTGTGACTCAGATATATGGAGGACGGAGAGCAGGAAAAGAAAAGGGAGAAAAGGCAGAGAGTGATGGCTATGGCCACAGGCTCAGATACTAGCATGAGCATGTACAAACCTGTGCACGGCGAAGGCCAAACTCAAGCAGCACTTTGTCTTCGCCTGCTACAAGCCGGTATCGAGCAGCATTGGTGGCAACAAGGGATGCATAATTGACCAGCGTCAAAAGAGTAGTCTCAAGCAGCTGGGTAACCTGCATAATGAGACAAAATATTGTCTCAGCAATAAAACCTGACACTAGAAACAAACCAACATCACTTCCCGGAATCTTTACATACTGTCATATTGCACAACAAGACGAGACCATCTGAGCAATAAAACTACAGAGTCATGCCATGATGCCGCTAGGGCTATGCAAGGAAGATGAGCAATAGCGAACTTCAACAATCAAACAGCATCATACATATGAGTCCAGATAGTCTTGACCTCGAACCAACAGCAGCATTCCATCACGAGATTCACCAAATAAGAACACACCAAGAGTTCATAATTGACAATGCTGAAATAGTCCCATCATCATCAACGAAGAACCAGAGTTGATATCCTATCTGGCGCTTGGCACCCAGACTACATGTGGCAGATCCTATCTAGCCTATACTACGAAGCCGAAAGATGACATCAACAGCATTCCCGAAGTACGAACATATGGCGACCAATGTCGCACGCTTCCAACACCAGGTATGTCTCGCGCTACACTCACAACCTCGTTCCCCAACTCACAGATGCCACTAGCACCCAAGGACCACCCTGCGCTTCACCCAGCTTACAGCACCACAGCTCGGCTATGGCTGTGTGCTCCTTCCCTGATCGCCCGTGAGAGCGTAGGCGCCAGCCAGCAAATAGCGCAGCAGCAGCGCTTGCGCAGCATGCAGCCAGCACCCGAATGCCGAATGAGGAGGCAGGCCCTTCCCTATATCGAAGTGGCCTGCCTGCGTCCAGTCCAGGAAGCTTCCAGTGGGCCCCAGTAACCTGAGGCCCAGCACAGGAGGAGCAGGCCTTGGGCCTGAAGTGGTTGCATGTGCCCAACTGCTTTCGGCCTGTGTTTGGCCCGGTACCTGTATCCAGCCCAGGGCCTGCTTCACATACATTCACACAGGCGGCCCAGGGCCTGGGTTTACTCAACCAACTGATGCTGCGCAACTGCATGAATTTCCTTGAGTTGCGTGGTGGCCGAAAAAGGGCCCTGAGGGCCTCGTCGAGCCTGCCTTCACTTAGGGCGGCCGACGGGCTGCAAAAATGGGGCCTTGTGAGGCTCTTAGAGGCAGTGGCCTCGCATTCCCTCCTCCTTAGCTTCAACAGTCCTCTGAGAAGCTCAATCTTCGATCATAGGGCGCTTTCCTTTCTGCAGAGATCTCTCGTATTGAGTCACAACTTGAGGAGCGGTCTCCATGAGTTCCTCCCTGGTGAACCATCGGTCCTCCTTCGGATCAGTCTGATGCCGGAACCGAACGCGGTACTGCAGCTTCGGTTTTGGAGGACGTCCCCTGCCTGCTGGTCTTGATACCGGCAGCTCTCGGTGATCCACAATATCATCAATGTCCACCTCTCCGTCCATGGTTGGGGGCAGCATTGAGCGACGAGATGGGAACTGATCAGTTTCTTTGAAAGGTGCCAGCTTGGAAGGGTGAAAGACAGGGTAAGTACGAAGATGACCAGGAATCCGGATAACATATGATGGCCCATCCGGATCTGTTCCGACGATGTCCAAGACTTCCCAAGGTCCAAAGTACTGAGGCATGAATTTGCGGGATATCCCGTACTCCTGTCCCAGTTCTGAGGACTTAACCCAGACTCTATCCCCAACCTGAAATGTAGAAGGCCGGCGGTGTCTGTTTTCAGACTCTATCATCGTGGCCTGTGCCTTCTGCATCTGTTCTACCGCCTGTTGCATTTTCTGTTCGTATCTGTAGGCAAACTCTAACGTACCTGGTGCAGCAGTTGATTCATTCTCAGGTAGGAGAAAATCAAGAGGTAGTCTAGGCTTGAAAGTCAGTAGTAGGCTGTTCGGGCTCACCCCAGTGGCACTGTGTACCGCATTGTTATACAGACTGGCGATGAGAGCAAGCTCTCATCGCCAGTCCATCTGGTTGGGCTTGATGTAATGCCTCAACAATTGTTGTACAGCGCGGCTCAGTTGCTCGGCCTGGCCATTGGCCTCGGGGTGATTTCCAGAAGTCATTTGCAACTGAGTGCCCTGCTGTGCAGCAGCAGCCTTCCACAACTCGCTGGTAAACCTGACATCCCTGTCACTGACAATAGACTTGAGTAAACCAAAGTCTCTAACCCAGTTTTCTTTGAGCAGTCGGATCACGTACTCCGTTTTTGCTGTTTTTGGCATGGCTACTAACCTAGCATACTTACTAAATCTATCCACGATGACGAAGATGTGCCGCATTCCACTCTTGTTGGTGATCAGAGTATCCATGAAATCCATGGACAGACTCTCACCAGGCCGTTCCGGAATCGGAAGGGGCTTCAGAAGCCCAAGAGGAGCCTGAGTACGTGGCTTGTCTCGTTGACACACTTGACAAGTCTCCACATACAACTGAGCATCTCGCAACATCGTGGGCCACCAGAACCGCTGCAGCAAGTTGGCTGCGGTCTTCTTATACCCAAAATGGCCGGTGGCATCATGGCATTCTCCTAAAAATAAACTACGCAAAGACTCCCTATTTGGGACGCACAATCGCTTATTCCTTGCGGGTCACACACACACTCAGCCGACAAGCACTCAGACAGGCATGCAAACCAGCAGGCACGCACACACACACAGACTTGGAAACCACAGCAGAATGCGGGAATCTCAGCAAGGCATTCATTCCAGCGGCAAAATCCAGAAATCAGCAGTGTTCTCAGTCTGTGTTTTTGGCGGGTCATTACATCAATATCATTCATCTATCCGCACCATAGAAGTCGTGGCAGGATGCAGCTGGGGCTGGATCCCAAAAAACTCGCAGGAGTAATAACAATTTTAGCAGGGGTAATACCGATTTTGAATTTTCAAAATTTTGAACTAACGAGCGCAATGTGCGCAGTTGGCGGGGTGTACCGTCGACGACCGATGAACTAAACGCGGTTTCAAATTGGCGGGCGTATGATGCAGGGAGACTGTCGAATTTTGAATTTTTGAATGTGTGCTGATGGTGGGATTACTGTTTCGTTTTTGGAAGTAGAAGTTAGAGGCAATAGCTGGAGACACAAAGTATTTAAGAGAATGCAGGTGTAGGTGAACCTTACCTTTCGAGTAGTAGCCCCTGATGACGCTGTAACTGGCAGCAGTAGCCAGGATGTGAGAGCAGGACGGTGCTTCGAGCATCAACTGTTCTACTTCACCGACATATCTATTGAGTGCTTCGAGAGGACTGTTTCCAAGTTTTTTCCAATATCCCGTGTGAGGCTGTCTTTGGGTGTGGAGGTTGTGTACGGAGTCGGACAGTGTGTGGAGTCACTATGGATGTTGGAAAGGGTGCTCGCGTCAATTTCATGGATGAATGTATGAGGTACAGATGATTAATGTGTATCTGTGATCGATGTGTGAGCTAACAATCGTTGGGCTGATTGAAGGAGTGGACTACCTGCACAAGGGTGCTCGTATACATGTCATGATGAAGGAATGAGGTGTAGACGATGAATGCGTATGTGTGATCGATATGTGTATGTGTGATCGTTGAGCTGGTGAACGAGTGGACTAATCTATTTCTAGCTGAGAAGCCCGTTTGATGATCTGGTCGACTTTCACCGCTCTCCTATCTGTGCGCTCTGTGCATGGTGCTGAAACGCATGTTCTACACGACTGTTTCAGCATCCATAAACTTGTATGGCAAGGCTACGTAGATTCTTGCCGTGGCTATCATTCACCACCACAACCACAGGATATTACGATGTTAGCGTTGTCAGAATGGCCTTAGGCTTTTCTCTTACCCTGGGTCATCTTCCAGTTCCAGTTCTAGTAAGAACTGGCAGGGTGTTCTCGGGTTCTCAATGACATTCAACTGCCACTCTTTTCTTCTAGATCTCTGCACCACGGTACACAAGGGGCCACAGACGGGTTCTGCGTACTGGTTCACATAGGCCTGCAGCCTACAGCAGGCTCAACCCTGTGCCACTTACTGAATCAGGATTCAGCAGAATAGGCTTGGGCTTGCAGAGAGTGGTGATATGACACCCAGCTGGACCATTTCGAGTGGTTTTACACTTAGCTGGGCTCAGGTCCATTTTACACAAGTGCTTACCAGTGCGCATAATTACCATGGCGAACTGTACCTTCATCTTGAGAGACGGATCTGGCCAGTATCAGCTGATTCAGATCCATTGTAATGCTGTTTTAAACTGAGTACGGATCCGGGCCGCCCGGCCGACCGGTGCCTGCCCGGGGGAGGTCCCGGGCGGCCTGGACGGGCAGGCGGCCCGGTTGGGGACCGGGCCCCCCCAGCACACTCACCTGTAGGGGGGTTTCAGACCCCGAATGGACTTGTTTCTGTGTTGGCAGGGCCTACCGGGTCCGACCATGCCCAGAAAACGGCGCGTCGGGCCCGTGAGGCCTGCTTTTTTTTTTTGAATTTTGGAAGGCCCTCCGGCCGTCGATCATCCATGATCGACGGCCAGAGGGCCGTTCGTTTTTGGAGGGAAACAGGACGCCCCGTTTGAACAAGCGAGTGGCTTGGGCGGTCTGCCCTGGGTTTCCAAACGGGGCCCCTGCTCCAGCCACCGCGTTTCGACCACACGGAGTCCGTCGTCCAAGCAGCTGCCTGTCGTCGAAGCAGTTGCCCGTCGTCGCCATCGCCCAGGACAGCCGTCGCCCGTCGTCGAAGCTGCTGCCTGCCGTCGCCATCAGCTGGGACTGCCGTCGCCCGTCGTCGAAGCTGCTGCCTGCGCTGCCGCCCGTCATCGAGGACTGCCGGTCTCTTCTTCTTCTTCTTCTTCTTCTTCTTCCCTCCTCCTCCTCCTCTTATTCTTCTGCTGCTTCTTCTCTCCTCCTCGTCCTCCCCCTCTCATCTTATTCTTCTTCTTCTTCTTCATCTATCGTCGTCCTCCTCCCCCTCATCTTCTTCTTCTTATTGTTCTCTCCTCCTCCTCCTCTCTATCTTCTTTTTGAGAATATATATATATATATATATTTTTTACATTCATTCCTGATAGGTCGCAAGATAAACAGCAGGTAAGGAAAACAAAAAAACTGCTCCCCTCGTCATCCTCTTCTTCTTCTTCTTCTTCTTCTTCTTCTTCTTCTGCTGCTGCTGCTGCTGCTGCTGCTGCTGCTTCTTCTTCTTCTTCTTCTTCTTCTTCTTCTTCTTCTTCTTCTTCTTCTTCTTCTTCTTCTTCTTCTTCTTCTT